CACTTTATAAAATATGTATATACTGTATATTTATGCCGTCGATACAAAAGTGCGATATTCAATGCATATTGAACTGTATGTATATACCTTCTGTTTCATTCGCAGACCTGCAACATATGTGCGCGGGGCTTCGACGTGACAATGTGCAACACAGCAGCTTTCATGCGCTACGGCTACGGTATCTACACAAGCTCCGTCAGCGGTAAATCAAATGACTATGCCAGGGAGTACCTCATCACCACAAACCAACAAACCAACACAGCAAGCAAACAAGCACAAAACCAAGCACACAGGTGTTGCAAGTGCATAGCTCTCAGACTATGAGTTGCATGTTCTTGTGCAGTGTGGCGGCGGGGAGAGTGTTCCGAACAGCTAAGGAGCGATAAGTGCGAGCACCCCTCAACGGGTATGTGGCAGTAAACGAGTGGGTGTAACCTTCATGCATGTGGCTACAGCTGTCTAAAGATTGTCAAGGCACCCCTCAGCACTGTGTATGCATACTACATACTTGTCTTACATCCTCGAGATTCCGTTGACGTCTAGTGTGTATGGTTGTTTGAGAGTTTGTATTGCGTTCAAGATGTGCGCATTTTAGCGATACGTGGGGAAGTGTACGTACATAGCTTGTTGACTGTACAGAACAGGGGGGAATTGTTTATAACATCAATTCAGCGCCGCGGTTTGCGATCGATTTTGTATATATCAGTCTATGCAATGTCTATGTGTCATCGCTTGTTAAATGCAGCACGCTTGAAATCCGTTTGTGTAATACTCATTCCATCCTCCCACACTTCACTGCGCCTTCTTGTGCGGCTTGGCTGTGAGAGACTTTGGCATTCTCTGCATCATGATTTTTTGCTATGCGTGTCTATGGAGTGCTATGGAAGTATTCTAAAGAGTTTCTGTATTGGACTTGTGCCCAGAGTGTAAGCACAAGTACAGCCGTTTTCTTTTAGACTCGCACATATATAGAAATGTGAACGTGTTATCGCAAGATAACATGCAAATAGTCCTGCATATTGATGCATGCCTCACATACAAGTAAAAAAATCACATCCTAGCTTTTTTTTTAGCAAAAGAAGGCGGGTGTATACATACATAACTTGCTTTTACGTCGTTACAAGTCATATGCACACCCGCATAGTCGCATATGCACATACAGGTGTCTCAATAGCCTTCTAAATTAGACATGTCTCATTCTTATGCACAGATTAAGGTTATGATACCGAGTCCTGTAGGCTTAAATTACGAAGAATTGGTAGGTATGGCACTGTGTACAATATGTACATCTGTATTATATATGGACATATATACAAATAAGTATTCGTATGTGTATATGTATACTAAGTAGATTGCTCGCACGATTCCCCATGTATCAGTCGGTTGCAAACTATACGTGCGCAGTTTTTGCAAGCCGAGACTGTCATCGTATTAAATTAGCACCGAATTTTATCCTGTACACTGTTTTGGGAGTAGCATATCGTGCCTTGTTGTATAGTTAGCACTAATGTGCACAATTCACGGAGGAAACTAGACCTGAGTCTGCACTATTTCTTTTCTTCAGTGCGGAGTCTTGTATCATTTTGTATGGCTGTATTGTACTTGTTACGAGTTGATGTTGAGCAGGCACTCTGTTATCAAACGATGGTTGCATATACTAATGATAGAAACGGGCACATACGCACATATGTATGTTTTGCAGTCTTGATCTGTTTTGTATCATCCGAAGCCCTTGATGTACATATGTGAGAAATTATGTGAATCGAGCGGGTTGTTTTGTACATTTTTATATATGCAGGTTTGAAACAGATCACGAATTAATAATTAAAAAGTGCAGAAATAAATTACGCGACCATATGCACAAGGGTTACTATGCGCTGTGTGATTTTATATTTCTGCTTCAGACTTTTTCGTGCCAAGTATCACGGATTTATATTGTTCGGGTTGCAAGGTAACCCAGTTCGGGTTGCAAGGTAACCCAGTTCGGGTTTTCTCATTTTATCACAATCTATTCTACTGTTTTATGATATATATAAAGTTCAATATGCCCGTGCTACTAGTGCATGCATACCAGTGTGTTTGGTGTCATATCATCTGAGATTATGGAGTCATTATTCATTTGACCCTTCGTGTGCACCCATATAGCTTCTGCTGCTTTCGCCAGCCAGTGACTCTAGTGTATTATTATCCAATTCCATAGACAGTTTCTGCCTTGGACTGAAGTCGAATAGACACACCGATTATATCTGTTAGGTTGTTCTCCATTTTGCGTTGTACACAGTGGTTTTTGTTCGAAATCAACCGGTTAGCAAATGAGTTTAAATGTTTCTTTTGAGTTTGTTACCAACCATGATCAAATAGGACTTTGAGGTAGGCAATTATGCCCCGGCGTAAAAAAAACTATGCTAAAATAATACACTAGTATCAGTACTCTCCATAGCGATCTACTGTAAAGCTACAGAGGCAGGTAGCTATTTGTCACGGCGTACACGAGGAAAGGCTTGTACTTTAAATACGAGCTTCTGACCTATCCCCTTCTCCCCCTCCCCCTCCTCTCTCTCCCCTCCCCTCCCCGCCTCACCATTTCAAACTACGTATACCAAGTCCCAATCGACATACTATAATCTCCAACCCCTTCTTCTGTTCTGTTTCAGTGTATGATTCAACATCTGTGCTGCCGCTCTACTGGATCGTTCACTCGCTCACCTACTAATTGGTACGGAATAAAAGGAGGGCGCCATGACGTAATTCGTAAAATAAAAAAGTGTTGTTCTGTCGAAGATTTTCAGATGCGCGAATGGTACAACATAGTTATGCGCAAATGTACGATAATATAGATCCATTGAGGGTTGTCGACGAATCGCTACATCAAGATAATATACTACTAGACAGGCAGACAGATCAAATGGAACACTCTCTTCCCCCGTTGCTGTATGTTTAAGGTAGAGTATGAAGTGGGCGTTTACACACCTGAAAGTCAGTGATAATACTTGACGGAATAAGTCCCGCGTGGACAGGCAGATATATTGAATTGAACAATCTCCTTGAACCGTGGCTGTCTGTTATAAGTAGACAAGCACACACCTGCAATCTTGAAGTACTTTATATATATATATATATATATATACATACATACATATATATATATATATATATATATATATATATATATATATATATATATATATATATATATATATATATATATATATATATATAT